TTGTGTATAACAAGTTTTATTCGGAGATGAATAAATGGTAGTTCAAAATTAAAACAAGCAATTTCAAAGAATTAAGCTCCTCCGCTTTCAATGTTTAGTGGGCTGGATGCCATTATTTATGTTATATACTGTGTCAAATGTGAACACCCTATCATATACGTATGTCATTCAAACGTAATCACGTGCACCAAAGTTATTTGTTTGAATATTATTTTAAACATGAAGGTCAAGTTCAAAGGGTTAAAAAAACATAACATGCTCGGAAACATCTTGTCACAGGTAATGTGCATGTCAAATATGAAAGCCCTATCTCTTCTCAATTAAAAGTTACAATCTTAAGAAAGATAACAATTTGAAAAGTATGTCAAACAGGGTCAAAAATCATAGCATATTTTGCAAAGGTCTTGTCATGGGCAATATACATATATAATAAGAAAGCCCTATCTATTCTCTCTCAAAAGTTTTGACCAATTTAAAGTAATGTTAAAATTTTTGAAAGTTACATGGTATGACAAACTTGAAGGTCAAGGTCACAGTGTAAAAATCATAGCCTATCTTTTTTCATTCAAAAGTTATGACCAAGGTAAAAGTTTTTTTTGTTGTGACAGACGGATAGAATGACAGACGAATGACCATAATGAAACACACTTATTAATCCTTGGAATATGTCTACTCGACATACATGTATGTTTCAGTAAAATTGAAATAAAAAAAGACTCGAAAAAAGTGCGCATGCCTCAACCGTTTTGTATTTGTTTGATCTACTGACTTTAAACGATAAGGCGGCCAACTTTCTACTAAACTGTATGACAAAAAAGCTTAAGATGACTTCAGCTTGTCCATTGTCAATTGTCCTTAATGTTGTAGTAATAATTCACGTCTCCCAACTTATTTTGGTACTCGACATGCTCTTAGTATGCTCAATTTTTAAAATCTAAACAGATTACCGACAGACATGTTAATGCTACAAGGACTTGAATAAACTTGATAAGGCAGCATTTTGTAAATTCAAATCCTACGTTCGTTATTAATTATATATGACCTTGTTAACAAATATAACCCATTAGTAGGTCGTTTTGGCTGACTTGTTTCATATCTCTCATTATGCCTTAAAAGTTAGTATTTAAAAATACTTACAAAAATTGACTACGGAATGTTCCATCTACTTGATCAATACTGTTTTATATTAACTGATTAAGCCATAATTTTCCATATAAAGTAATTGATAATATAGTGTGTAATTATTAAATCTTAAATGAGCACTGAAGGGTATAAGAAAACAGTTATAGACTGGGATTCGGGCAACATATGATTTGTTGGACCTAAGGGTGAAAATGTTGCCCTTGGCCTGCGGCCTCGGGCAACGTTTTCACCTTCAGGTCCAACAAATCATATGTTGCCCTCATACCCAGTCAATAATTGAATAATAATTGAGAAAGAACAAAATTATATTACTTCACAAAAAATTATTTATCACAGAACATAATCTTCCCTTCTTCCTTACCTTGCTAGTAGCAACATCTCTTGCAGCTCTTAACTTTGGCTATATCCGTGTCGCCGATATAGAACGATGATTAATAACTTGTGACGTAGCAGTGACGTTGCGGTCTAACAATTCTTATGTTGGACCGGCACGCCGGTCAACAGTGAAATTATTAGACCGATGTAATAAGCATTTCTTTTGTTGGACTTTTTATTAGTAATAGATAATATAGAAAGCTATTTATGAGGGTATAACAAATATTAATGGTCATGACGGGTGATCGGTCAACAAGGAATGCTTACTCCTTCAAGGTACCTGATCCCATTTCTGAAATTTCTTGGGGTCCGTATTTTACATGTACGAGGGGTTATCAAAAAGTTCGTGGACTGAGGCGATAAAATTAGTACTATGTAGTCCGTGCTTTCAAAATTTATAAGGAAAATAAAACAATCGAAAATAAAGAAATGTTGAAAATTTTAGCTCGATACATTCAGTATTTGTCAATTATTATAAAATAAAAACGACATTATATGATCACCTGGCTCTGTCGCCGTAAAGTTTCATGACGTCCAACAACGTCTCCTCTTTAAGCCCGTCTTGTAAATATGACTTTACAATGTCATGAACAGCTTAATACTGCAAATGGATTTATACATTGGGAGAGATCCTCGCTTGATTACGCCAAAATGTTATTATTTTTTTGGTTCAATATCTACCACACATGACCAACGCCAGTTTTTGACGTAATTGACTTTTCACATCTTGACTACATTCAAAATCCGACCGACATTTTACACAACTTGTTTGTCCATTTACAAAATGTAAGAAATAGAAGTCATTCCCTTTTCCCCAGATGCGTAGGAAATGAGACAGATTGAATTATTCTCCTTACATGTTAATGATCAATTTCCTATGACGTCTGGAAAACATGGAATAATACAGAGAATATTAATATCTTGTACGACTAATTGCTAAATGTGCAATAATTCGTCTATCGCCAATACAAAACATGAACTTCATGAAAACTGAGTCCTCTTTCTTGGACAGGGTTACACCGGGGGAAGAAAGGGCACGGGGGAGGGGGCCTCAGGGGGGCATAATTTTGCCGATGAATAGACTACTGTGTAAATCAAAGGTACTATATGCTTGTGCCCCTTTGATAAAAACGGTAGTTGATAGTCTCTCCTACTGAAATGTATGCCCCCCCAACTGAAATCATTGTTTTCTACGGGTCTGTCATTATACCCCCCGCTTGAAAAGTGGGAGGGTATACTGTAATCGGTATGTCCGTCCGTCCGTCCAGCTGTTCGTCCGTCTAGCTGTACGTCCGTCAGTCTGTTACGCTTTAGGGTACCCATCTCTTATATCACTGAGTGAAATTTAATGAAACTTTCACAGAATCTTTATTACATATTGCATATTACATATTGCCATTGTGCACCTCCTATTTTATTTTTTGATCCGACACATATTTTGGGTTTCTCGGCCACAGCAAAACATGGACTTTGTGATCAGTTATAACCATATGGAAGGCGGGGGGTATCATTTAGTGAGCTCATTGCTCACAGTACCTCTAGTTTTAGATAATGTGTTCATTACATCATTACAAGTTCCTTTAAAGGAACTTTAAAACAATTTTAAAATCACAAAACCTGACTAAAATCAATTTAAAAATATGTATATTTTCAACATTTGATATTTTACTAAAAAAGACTTGAATGGTTACAGTGTATCTAACAACAAAACATGATAAATATGACTTCAACTTTTCTATCGTCGACTTCCCCCTTTTTTTTTAGGAATATAGTCCTAGCACCAGTTTAAGGAGTTATCTTCAAGTTGATTCGATAAGCAAGTGCATATTCTACCATGGACAAAGGAATCGATATATAAAACACGATAGAAAACATACCTACTACATGTATATGCTTGTGCCCCCCCCCCCCCCATGAAAACATCTAATGCCTTTTTTCTTGCTTCTTACAGGCCTGTCTACGTACGACCAATTCCTAAAAAGAAGGCAAGCAATTGACGAACAAGTTGAAGAAACAAGGATATCAACAGAATAGTTAAAACTCGTCTTTTTTAAAGTTCTTTGGTCGATACAATGACCCTTCCAGCAAAATTAATTATCATGAAGTGGAAAGCTGACTGACGTTCTTCATTGTAAGTGTTTGGCCATTAATTTTATTTTGTTTGCCTCATCGTATAGGAAGCACATAAATTGTCGACAGCGGATGCTTACACCTACATGGCACCTGATCCAACCTCTAATGTTACTTAAGTCCTGTGTTTGTTCTGCTTCCAATTTGTATTATTTATATGGACTTTTGAACTTGATTACTGTTCGTTATCTCCATATGTCGTCTATAATAGGGGGCATTTAAATTATAAGGTATCGATTCAATCAATTAATCGGCACGTAAGTACAAAATCATTCTAAAAATATAACCTGTGCTAGAAATGAAACTTCTATTGATCTCACTGCTACATTAGTATCATTAGAATTTAGTGCGCATTGAAGATACTGCATGACGGGGAAAAATACAGGTTTTTATGACGAGAGCCTGATATGCATCACGATAAATGTAAAACGTTATTGCGTAATATTTTACTGCTATGACGATTAAGCAGCAATTTAAATTTCGCAGATTTTGGGTTTGTGGGTGTCCATGTATACCATAGATATTGGACCCTTACAAAGTAATGCTTCAGGTCATCATTTAATTTACCTATATATATATCTGTATTAGCAGACAATAGGCCCAGGGACCTTTATAGTCACCTTATTGTAATACAACCCCTTCATGAAGAAATTTGAATAGCAGTAAAGTGTCAGCTTAATGGAGCAAAATTATTTTAGCTCTCCTAAGATGAAAGCTCATGACCTTTTCTGATCACAGCTTGTCTGGTGTTCATTTCTCTGTTTGTAGAAGCTATTTTCATTTTCTTTTCTCGGTAGCTATATACGTATATAATAGGATGATGTGCATGAACACTCTTTCATTGCAAAAGTTCTAGATGTAACGGGCCCAATAGTTTTTAATCTAAAAAGATTTGATTTCAGTTGATTGATACATATTTTTAACTGTATCTATTATTCACTACCTGGGTATGCCAACTGAGTTTTATTAGTAAGGCCATCTTTAAAAAATTGTTTGGTTGCCCTCTCCCCACCAACTGACTAAAAATGGCTTGACTTAAAACTTCCCAAGGCACAATATATTTTTTTCTTTTTAATCCTCTTATCCGGTTACCAAATATGTAGAAATTTTCTGGAAAAAAGATTTTCCCATCTTTCAACCGACCCAGTAGTTTTGCCCTGAGTCCAGAGAGGGCAAGCAAACATTATTTTAAAGATGGCCTAATCACAAACGTAATTCTCCTTCCTTTCCTCAGATTTGTATGCTGCACTCTGACAATTGAAATGAGTTTGCTTTTTCAAAAAAGTATTATTTAAAAGCAAAATTGATTTTAAAGTATTACATGTATCACTAAAGAAAAAAAAAAACCTAGGAAAGATGATACACATTTATTCATCAGAATGTGTAAACAAATATCCATTTAGAAATCTTAATTATAATGTTTTACATCTGTAACACACATTGTGTGTACGCAATTTCCAGACTGACAATAAGATTAAAAACAATTATTCCCACACTTCTGCACAAGTCCATGAATTGTTGAATTACTGCAGGAAAATGGTTTCATCCTTGCGTTTTTTCTGTACCACGGTGCCAGGTTTATTCTGGGCATCTGGGTGATTAGCCAGCTCTGGGGGGCAGGAGGACACGGGGCTGGCCAGGATGGTCTGTTTAAGGTCGTATAGGACGGCAGAGTCCTGCTCAGGGGTCACAAAGGTTATAGCCACCCCGGTCTTCCCAGCTCGACCCGTACGCCCGATACGATGTGTGTAATCTGGAAAAGAAGAAAGAAAATATTTATACAGACTTGTCCTTTCTCTCCTGACCACCTACATTGAGTACATAGAACACTGTATTTGGCTAAATTTGACATGCAAGGTATTTCTAATGTTATTTCAAATGATGTCTGGGTCAGTATTTCAGAAAGTGTAAAATGCAGGTAAAATATATCTTGTGCATGTTAATTGAAAGTATTAATTCAATACTGTAACAAATGGTCAAATAAATGTTAAAGTACCATACTGTAAACCAACTTTTATTTGTGTGCAAGAAATTTTCGAGAAGTTCGCGAGAGCCCCATCATCACAAATATTTCTGGCCGCGATCCGTTCTTTAAAATCTATGTGCCTCATAACAATAGATCCAAAATAGGCTTGTTTGCGGAAATTAATTGTCGCAAACTAATTTACCCGGGTAAATCGCGAAATAATGTTGTCCGAAATAAAAGTTGGTTTACAGTATGTTTAGAAATATATTCCTCAGAAAGAATCTGTAAAAGTCTATGTACACAGAACAGTATATGCATCAAAATCCAATACAGACCTTCGATGGATTTAGCCATGTCATAATTGATAACCAGTGAGACGTCCTTGATATCGATACCACGACCTGCCACATCGGTGGCGACCAGGATATCTTTAGTTCCGCCCTTAAGGCTGGCCAGAGCAAACTCTCTCTGTTCTTGTCCCTTACCACCGTGTAATGTACAGGCATTGTACTAAATAAAGAAACAAACAGAAATTGTAGGTAGAGAAATGTACAGGCAATGTACATATTGAAGAAAATGTACACGTATTGCATCTGGCAAAACAAGAGGCCCAAGGGCCTTGAATCGCTCTTCTGATAAATTGTACAATCTATCACTTCTATTTGAAGCCTCTAACTCTAAGTATCCTAAGATGCATGAACTGACAAAGTTTGATGATTCTTTGCCAGTTAGGATTGAAGATATTTCAGTATAGCTATAAAATACTATAAGTAGGACATGGTGACCTACTTTTTGATTTGAAACTTTCTGAGGACTCAAGATGCATTAATTGACAAAGATTGATGAATCTAAGCCAAATAACTACCTCATATATTAAAGTAGGTCACAGTGACCTTCTTATGGTTGACATTCTCCGAGGACCAAAGATGCATCAACTATCAGAGTTTCACGATTCTAAGCCAAAAAGTACCAGAGATACTTAAATAAAGCCATAAAATGTCAAAAATAGGTCACTGTGACTTACTTTTTGGTCGACATTTTCTGAGGAACCAAGATGCATCAACTGACAATGTTTGATGATTCTAAGCCAATAAGTATCTGAGATAATTAATAGTAGGTCACTGTGACCTACTTTTTGGTCGACATTCTCCAAAAACCCAAGACGCCTCAAATGACAACGTTTGATAATTCTAAGCCAAAAAGTACCTAAGATATAGTCATAAAATGTAAAAACTAGATCACAGTGACCTACTTTTTGGTCAACATTCTCAGAAAAACCAAGTTGCATTAAATGACAAAGTTTTGATAATTCTAAGCCAAAAAGTACCTACGATACTTAAATATAGCTATAATATGTCAAAAGTAGGTCACCATGACCTACTTTTTGGTCCACATTTTCCGAAGACCCAAGATGCACCAACTGACAATGTTTGATGATTCTAAGCCAGTAAGTACCTGAGATAATCAAAAGTAGGTCATTGTGACCTACTTTTTGGTCGACATTCTCCGAAAACCAAAGATGCCTAAACTGACAGTGTTTGACAATTCTAGGCCAATAAGTACCCGGGATACTTAAATATAGCCATAAAATTCAAAACTAGGTCACAGTGACCTACTTTTTGGTCGACATTCTCTGAAAACCCAAGTTGTATCAACTGACAAAGTTTGATGATTATAAGCCAAAAAGTACCTAAGATAATTAAATATAGCCATAAAATGTTTAAAGTAGGTCACCGTGACCTACTTTTTGGTCGACATTTTTTGAAGACCAAAGATGCATCAACTGACAAAGTTTGATGATCATAGGGCTGAAAGTATTCAAAATATGCCTTCTAAACAATTTGAAAACAAATGCCTGCAAAATTCAAACATAGGTAATCAGAGATTACAGAGCTCACCTCAACGTGTGTTGTCTTTAAGTAAGGCAAATTAAGTCACACAATTAACCAACAAAAAGTATACATCCAAAAATGCTAAATTTATGCAATTTTGATACTTTGGAATAGACCTATATAAAAACTAAAAACCAGTTCTTCATCATGAAAATGTAATTAAAATCCAGCATCTGAAGAAAGATTGAGAGTTTTCATCCCTTGATGCATCATTTGTGCAACTGGTTTATATAAGCCTTAGTTTCTTGGTGATAGACTTGCACCCATAACTTTTACGAGGTCTATTATCTGGAAAATGTATGTCAAATTTAGCATCTGAAGCAAGTCCATTAGTGTGCATCCTAAGATGTATCATCCATGCAAGTTTGGTCAACATAGGGCTTAAAGTTACTTGCAAATGAAACCTGTATAAAAAAATTAACCTTTCCACTAATCCAGAAAATGTAGGTCAGATTCAGCATCCGAAGCCAGCATAGTAGAATGCACCCTTAGATGTACCATCTGTGCAAGTTTGGTCATTATAGGGCTCAAAGTTACTTGGAAATGAATCCTGCACCATAAACTTTAACCTGTTTACTCGTCCAGAAAATGTAGGTCAGATTCAGCATCCGAAGCAAGTCTGGTAGTATGCATCCTAAGATGTACCATCCATGCAATTTAGTCATTATAGGGTTCATAGTACACTGTACCTTGAAAATGAAACGTTCACCAAAAACTTTAACCTGTTCACTCAACTGGAAAATGTAGGTCAGATTCAGCATCCGAAGCAAGGCTGGTAGTATGCATCCTAAGATGTATCATCCATGTAAGTTTGGTCATTATATGTCTCATAGTAACCTGGAAATGAAACCTGCACCAAAAACTTTAACCTGTTCACTCAACTGGAAAATGTATGTCAGATTCAGCATCCGAAGCAAGTCTAGTAGAATACATCCTAAGATGTACCATCCATGCAAGTTTGGTCATTATAGGGCTCAAAGTATCTTCGAAATGAAACCTTCACCAAAAACTTTAACCTGTTCACTCAACTGGAAAATGTAGGTCAGATTCAGCATCCACAGCAAGGCTGGTAGTATGCATCCTAAGATGTATCATCCATGTAAGTTTGGTCATTATATGTCTCATAGTAACTTGGAAATGAAACCTGCACCAAAAACTTTAACCTGTTCACTCAACCGGAAAATGTAGGTCAGATTCAGCATCCGAAGCAAGTCTAGTAGAATACATCCTAAGATGTACCATCCATGCAAGTTTGGTCATTATAGGGCTCAAAATATCTTCGAAATGAAACCTTCACCAAAAACTTTAACCTGTTCACTCAACCGGAAAATGTAGGTCAGATTCAGCATCCGAAGCAAGGCTGGTAGTATGCATCCTAAGATGTATCATCCATGTAAGTTTGGTCATTATATGTCTCATAGTAACTTGGAAATGAAACCTGCACCAAAAACTTTAACCTGTTCACTCAACCAGAAAATGTAGGTCAGATTCAGCATCCGAAGCAAGTCTAGTAGAATACATCCTAAGATGTACCATCCATGCAAGTTTGGTCATTATAGGGCTCAAAGTATCTTCGAAATGAAACCTTCACCAAAAACTTTAACCTGTTCACTCAACCGGAAAATGTAGGTCAGATTCAGCATCCGAAGCAAGGCTGGTAGTATGCATCCTAAGATGTATCATCCATGTAAGTTTGGTCAACATAGGGCTTATAGTTACTCGGAAATGAGACCTACACCAAAAACTGCACCAAAAATGTTAACCTGCACCAAAAACATTAACCTGGTCATTCCTTTGCTGAAATTGCAGCATCTGAAACTTTGACTGGTACAATGAAACACATTAGCAACATCTTCCATGCATGTCTAATCAATATAGGACAAAGAAGTACTTAAAAAGAAAACTGCTCCAAAAAACTTAACCTTAACCCGGGACGCCAAGCCGACGCCGACACCGACGCCGACGCCGAGGGTATCACATAAGCTCCCCCCAACTTCGTTGAGGTGAGCTAAAAAGTACGTCACAGTGATTTACTTTTTCATAAATATGTTTTAAGGCCCCGAGATGCATCAACTTACAAGATTTGGTGAATCTAAACCTCTCAGTTTCTGAAATAATGGGATTAAATGTTTTAGAAAAGATGAGCCATAAAATTCAAAAAGTAGGTCAAGGTGACCTACTTTTAAGTTGACCTTGTTTAAGGACCCAAGATGCATCAACTGACAAAGTTTGATGATCATAGGCCTTAAAGTGTCCAAAATATGCCTCCATATCAATTTGAAAACGAAAGCCCGTAAAATTTAAACATAGGTAATCAGAGATTACAGAGCTCACCTCAACGAATGTTGTCTTTAAGTAAGGCAAAGTCACACAATTAACCAACAAAAAGTGTACATCCAAAAATGCAAAATTTATGCAATTTTGATTTGATACTTTGGAATAGACCTATATAAAAACTTCAAACTAGTTCTCCATCATGAAAATGTAATTAAAATCCAGCATCTGAAGCAAGTTTGAGAGTTTTCATCCTTTGATGCATCTTTTGTGCAAGTTTGGTTTATATAAGCCTTATAGTTTCTTGGTAATAGACCTGCACCCATAACTTTTACGAGGTGTCCATTATCTGGAAAATGTATGTCAAATTCAGCATCTGAAGCAAGTCCATTAGTGTGCATCCTAAGATGTACCATCCATGCAAGTTTTGTCATTATAGGGCTCATAGTAACTTGGAAATGAAGCCTGCACCAAAAACTTTAACCTGTTCACTCAACCAGAAAATGTAGGTCAGATTCAGCATCCGAAGCAAGTCTGGTAGTATGCATCCTTAGATGTATCATCCATGCATGTTTGGTCACTATAGTGCTCATAGTTACTTGGAAATGAGACCTGCACCAAAACTTTAACCTGTTCACTCAACCAGAAAATGTAGGTCAGATTCAGCATCCGAAGCAAGTCTGGTAGTATGCATCCTTAGATTTATCATCCATGCAATTTTGGTCACTATAGTGCTCATAGTTACTTGGAAATGAGACCTGCACCAAAAACATAAACCTGTTTACTCATGCGGAAAATGTAGGTAAGATTCAGCATCCGAAGCAAGCCTGGTAGTGTGCATCCTAAGATGTACCATCCATGCAAGTTTGGTCAACATAGGGCTTATAGTTACTCGGAAATGAAACCTACACCAACCAGAAGTCTCTGTCTAGACTGAAGCTCTACTGGTTTGAACTTATAGCAAAGGAAGAGAAAAGTACTTAAGCAGCTGGGATTTGAAACTAAATAGAATAATGATTGTTGATCAAGTCTCTTTATGTTCTTAGTGTAGTCTACTTGTGTGCCAAGTTATACTGAAATCAGACCAAAACTGTAGGAGGAGTAGCATTTTGAAAGAATTTCACAGAAATTTCTATTTTTAGTAACCACGGCAACACCGTTCATCAAAATTAAAATTCGATATACAGAATTATGTATCTTAGTGTATTCTACTTATGTGCCAAGTTTATTTGAAATCAGACCAAAACTGTAGGAGGAGTAGCATTTTGAAACAGTTTTACAGATATTTCTATTTTTAGTAACCACGGCAACACCGTTCATCGAAATCAAAAACCGATAAACAGAATTATGTATCTTAGTGTATTCTACTTGTGTGCTAAGTTATAATGAAATCAAACCAAAACTGTAGGAGGAGTAGCATTTTGAAAGAATTTCACAGAAATTTCTATTTTTAGTAACCACGGCAACACCGTTCATCAAAATCAAAAACCGATATACAGAATTATGTATCTTAGTGTATTCTACTTGTTTGCCAAGTAATACTGAAATCAGACCAAAACTGTAGGAGGAGTAGCATTTTGAAAGAATTTCACAGAAATTTCTATTTTTAGTAACCACGGCAACACCGTTCATCAAAATCAAAAACCGATACACAGAATTATGTATCTTAGTGTATTCTACTTGTGTGCCAAGTTATAATGAAATCAAACCAAAACTGTAGGAGGAGTAGCATTTTGAAAGAATTTCACAGAAATTTCTATTTTTAGTAACCACGGCAACACCGTTCATCAAAATCAAAAACCGATACACAGAATTATGTGTCTTAGTGTAGTCTACTTGTGTGCCAAGTTATACTGAAATCAGACCAAAACTGTAGGAGGAGTAGCGTTTTGAAAGAATTTCACAGAGATTTCTATTTTTAGTAACCACGGCAACACAGTTCATCGAAATCAAAAACCGATACACAGAATTATGTATCTTAGTGTAGTCTACTTGTGTCCCAAGTTATATTGAAATTAGACCAAAACTGTAGGAGGAGTAGCATTTTGAAAAATTGTTTACAGACAGACGGACAGACAGACAGACGGACAGACGGACGGACGCATTACTATCGCATAAGCTCTTCTGGTCTCTGACCAGTAGAGCTAAAAACTGCACCAAAAATGTTAACCTGCTCCAAAAACATTAACCTGGTTATTCCTTTGCTGAAATTGCAGCATCTGAAACTTTGACTGGTACAATGAAACACACTAGAAACATCTTCCATGCATGTCTAATCAATATAGGACATAGAAGTACTTCAAAAGAAAACTGCTCCAAAAAACTTAACCTTAACCCGGGACGCCGACGAGGACGCCGACACCGACGCCGAGGGTGTTACATAAGCTCCCCCAACTTCGTTGAGGTGAGCTAAAAATTAGGTCACCATGACCTACTTTTGAGTTAACATGATGTGAAGTCCTAAGATGCATCAACTTACAAGATTTGATGATCCTAGTCCTTATAGTAAGTAAAATATCAACATTTTTATTAATTGTATATTTTGGTTAACTTTGAAGTGACCTTGAGACCACGCCCTTTGCCCCAGGGTCATGCCTTGAACAATTTTTAATCTTCAACATATCCTGAACCTTGTATGTAAGTTTGGTGAAAATCTGCCTGGTGGTTCTGGAGAAGAAGATTTTTTAGCAACCAGTACTTTTGGTTCTATTTTCCTGATTATCTCCCCTTGTTTTAGGGTCCCAACCCTAGTTTTAGTATAAATGGTAGCCCTTGGGCCAAGGATACCCTGTAACAAATTTGACAATGATTGGCCAAGGGGTTCTTGAGTTATGGCCCATATTCTAAAAAGTTAACACACACTGCACAAATGGCCATAGCATTAGCTCTTTGAGCCTTTGGCTCAGAAGAGCTAATAATGAGAATGCAAATTTTGTCACAAACATGTAAAATTGAACAAATTTTCCTAATTTGTAGTGCACATATTGAGAAACAGAAAATATACATAATTTTTACGACAAAAGAAACACCAGTTATTTTTTTTTAAAACTTACTCCCATTTTCTCCAGAGATTTGGCCAACACATCCGCTCCTTTCTTCTGGTTCACAAAGATAATGATTGGTGGATCAATTCCTTGTTCCAGAATCTGAACCAATTTCTTTCTGTAATTCACCAATCATAATATGTATTACATTAAATAAGCTAATGAAAATATATTTGAAATATATTTAAATTTCTTGTAATATTGTCTTAGCTTCAGATAACTTTTTTTCACAAATCAAGTCAATCTGATGTTTTTTCTACATGTATCAAAGAAATCTTTTCATATGATAATTTAAAAAAATATAATGAAAGAATTATGATTATTTTCTACTATTATAGAATCAGTCTGCAGAATAAAGACATTTAATATCTGTTTCAGAAAATTATACAAGCTTTTGACCCTTGACCTTTGACTGACCTTTTTTCTGCGGATGACACCATGTAGACGATTTGTTCGGTTCTCTCGGTGGGTTTGCCTACAGAGCCTATGTACACTACCGCTGGTCTACGGAGATAGGATCTGGCCAGCCTCTCCACAGCGGGGGGCATAGTAGCTGTGAACATGACCGTCTGGCAAAAATATGAACAACTGTGTTGATAATGAAACCATAATGTAACTAAAAGAATCTTTTACTATAAATTCGACATGTATTTTTTAACATTATAATGGTTTAAATTTTCAATTAAACATGTAATTAAAACTGTACAACTGTTAAAAGAATGGCTCATTTTAAATAATTTTGAACATATTCATAAGAATGATGGATTATTTCTCTACACTGTCTTAAAAAAGAAAGATTGGAGAAATCCTTACAAGTATGTGCAGCAACTTTGTTTCATTACATGAGGGCATGTGACCTACCTGGTGATACTTTTTCTTGGAGGTGTAATTCTGTAGCATTTTCTCCACCTCTAATTAGTCTATGTGTGTACATGTGACCTACCTGGCGGTACTTTTTCTTGGAGGTGTAATTCTGTAATACATGTGACCTACCTGGCGGTACTTTTTCTTGGAGGTGTAATTCTGTAACATTTTCTCCACCTCCTCCGCGTCTTCTGTGTCCGGTTTCTGGTTGGAGACTGGTAAATATTCCAGAATCTTCTGTACATCCGGTTCAAAACCCATGTCAATCATTCTGTCAGCCTCGTCCATGACGACGTATGTGCACTGGGCCAGAACCAGGTACCGGTTCTCCAGCACATCAATCAGTCGACCAGGGGTGGCAATGACGATCTGTAAAAAAACACAGGTAAAATAACTTATCATTAAAAAATTAGGAATGAGGTATCATAAAAAATTGACCATTCAAATGTTATGAATGGACTCCCATCGAAGATACATTTTAAAAACATATTACATTTGGTGGTGAATTCTATAAGATAGCAGCTATGACAACTATGTCACTAAAATGTCTATTTCATGCATATTCTTATAAAGAATATTCACAATGCACTTAATCAAATCTAAACTAGATTGTTGAAAATTCTTTCAATTTAATTGAAAAAAAAAATCATTTAACCCTTAAGACTTCAAAAGAGATACATTCTATACTTTTTAACCTTCCCTGTTGTAATAACTGACCTCGCATCCCTGTCGTAATTTGAACCCCTGTTCCTCTCGCGAGATTCCTCCAATAATGGCGACTGTCTTCAAGTTCAGATGTTTGGCAAACTTGATGGTTTCCTCCTCTATCTGCTGAGCCAACTCACGCGTCGGAGCCAAAATAATGGCGTATGGACCCTGGTCATAGTCGTCAAACCTAAACGATAACCAAAGATCTCTTGTAAAATTAAAACTTATTTCTCAAAAAAATTTTTTTTTGAAAATCGAAACTTGTGTACAATGTTCATATAAAAAATATTTCAAGACAGTAACTGCCACCTATGTAAATTTTCTATATATGTTTGATCTAAAGAGAGTTAAATGTTTATACAATACAAAAAAAAAAAAATCAATGTATTGCATCTCCACGTAAATATTCAATAGAGTCATTATAATACAGTAAAACACACAAGGAAGAGCTAGGAACAGACAATTTTGCTTTGTTATAAGTGTTATTTGTTATATCCGTTAAGATTATAATACACTTTAAAGTCACAGGGAATAAAAATCACTTCATTCTAAGCATCAATTCATTGTAAGCGTGGTCGCTATAGCTGTATTTTACTGTATTTCGTACAAATTATACATTTTAATTATTCCACATTGCTATCAGAGAGGTGATGATAAAAGATATTAAATTGACCTTTCTATTTTGGGAAGGGAGGTAATCCATTTGAGTAGGGGCAGTAAGAAGGCGGCTGTTTTTCCACTTCCTGTTTCGGCTACGCCTATGATGTCTCTGTTCTGTAGACCTATAGGTATAGCCTGTCTCTGAATGGGTGTCGGCTCCTACAAAAAATTAAGCAACTGGATTTAAAGATTTTACTCAATATATTCAAGAGGAATTGTAGAAAGTGAGTAAAACTAGTCTACTATATTTTTTATTAGATGCAGTATATTGTAACACTGTGCAATAGAATGAATTACAAAATATGATGTACATTCTGTTATTTCTTTTACTTAATATGTACATGTAAAAGGTTGTGAAAAAGAAAACATCTAATTTGAGAATTTACTTAATATGGACTCTGTTTTTTCATTGCAATATGTATACACAGATAAATAAGTTCCAAATTCCGTCGATACATGTTTTGCTTTCATTTTATACCTTTTGAAACCTTGTAGCCAACTAAGTCACCATATCTTGTAGTGGACTTGTTCAACAAACCTTGTAGCTGACTTGTTCAACAAACCTAATAGTGGACTTGTTCAACAAACCTCATAGTGGACTTGTTCAACAAATATTGTAGCCAAATAATATACCTTGTAGCAAACTTGTTCAAAAAACCTTGTAGCTGACTTGTTCAATACACCTTTCAGCAAACTTGTTCAACAAACCTTGTAGCCAACTTTTTCAACAATCCTTGGAGCCAACTTGTTCAACAAACCTTGGACTAGCCAACCTGTTACCTTGTACCCAACTTGTTACCTTGTAGCCAACTTGTTCAACAGATCTTGTTGCCAACTGTTCAATAAACCTTGTACCCAATTTGCTGAACCAAATTTGTGGTCAATTTGTTCAATAAACCTTGTATAAGACTTGTTCAACAAACCTTGTTGCCAATTTGTTCAATTTGCCTATAGCTAATAGCCAACTTGTTCAACAAACCTCATAACAGACATGTACCTAATAGCCAACTTGTTCAATAAATCTTGTAGCCAATTTGTTCAATAAACCTTGTAGCAGGCTTGTTCAGCAAACTTTGTAGCAAATTTGTTCAATAAACCTTTTAGAAGACTCCTTCAACAAACCTTGTAGCCGACTTGTTCAATGACGTCCAGAATCTCCTTATCCAGGAGTCCGGACTCCTTCCAGTTCCTCATGGGGTTCGGGATCCTCCCCCCTTTACAGGAAATGTTGTAATCCTCCTTAAAGATTCGCCAGTCTCTCTCCGTCATCTCCGCCAGACTTTTCTCCACCCAGTGACGGTCGTCCCACTTCTGCTTGGCTTCTTTCTTGGCAATGATTTTCTGATGTTTCCTGTAAAATTTCTAAAATATCACTTTGTCTCCCTTTGGCACCTAGTTATAAGCTACTGTAGATCATTAAATTTTCGTGACACCTTATTTTCGCAAGATAGTCATTGACTCTTGATTAGCGAGGCATAATTTTCACGAATTGTGGTTATTGCTCTATATAATCTTAAGGAATACTATTATGCGCGAGAATTAAATTTTTGCAAGCACACTATCTCGCGTAATTACGCGAAAATCTCTCTCTCTCTCTCTCTCTCTCTCTCTCTCTCTCTCTCTCTCTCTCTCTCTCTCTCTCTCTCTATCTATCTATCTATCTATCTATCTATCTATCTATCTATCTATCTATCTCTCTCTC